CTGAAAAAAAATGTCATTTCAGCTTAGTTTTATGTGACAGTTTAAGCCAAATTAGATTTGCAAATTAAACCGATTTCCCCTCAACAGTTCAACCTAATATTTTTGATAAACTTCACTGAACATTTTTTTAATTCAAGTGCCATGAATTTACAAGTTCAAACATCCCAAAGCAGTTCAATAAATCCTCAAATTCAAATCAAACAAAGATGGAATGGAACCATTACATATTTGTAAAAGTTTACAGTTTTAAAGTGTAAAATATGACTTTTTCCCTTCTTTTGGCTGCTCCCTTCTTCAGGAGGCGTCATAGCGAACTAACTCGCACCAAGATTTGGCACTTGTTTAACGCTGGATGTCCTTCCTGATGCAATCACTGACCACTGAGCTACCACAGCCCTCTGTGTGGAGCAGAGAGCTGCTATCTAGGGTGCCGGAGGGTCCATGTTCCCCCTCAGAACATGGACCGTGGAACAGGTGGAAGAGAACTTGGAGAGGTGGAGGTATGCACTTGAAAGAAGAGGAATGACAGCTGTAGTAAGGCAGTTTATGTGTGATCAACGAGAGAGCATTGAAATGCAGCTGCCAAGAAAAAGACAAAGAAGAGATGTATGGATGCAGTTACAGAGGACATGGAGGTCGTTGGAGTGAGGACAGAGGATGCAGAGAGCGAGATGGAGGAGGATGACTCGCTGTGGTGACCCATGAAGAGGGAACAGCCAAAAGAAGAAGAAGAAAGGTGTAAGTTTGCACAAGGGATTTTTTTAACGATAATAAAAATTGATGCTATTGGAAAAATTGTGTTATTTTACTTAATTTAGAATTAAAGGGGGCGGCACAGTGGCTCATTTGGTTGAGTTGTTGCCTCTCAGTGAGGTTGCCAGATCAAATTCTGACCAGGGGGCCTTTATGGGTGGAGTTTTCAAGTTCTCTCCATGCATATGTGAGTTTTCTCCAAGTACTCCAGTTTCCTCCCACAGACCAAAAACATGCATGTTAGTCTGATTGGTAACTCTAAATTGTCCCTGTGAGTGAGAGAGTGAATGGTTGTTTGTCTCATTTGTCTCTATGCGTGCGTCCCTGTGATGGACTGGAGACATGTCCAGGGTGTCCCCTGCCTCTTGCACTGTAATAGCTGGACAAGGGCACCAGTGACCCCTGCGACCTAAAAAGGAAGAAGCGGGTAAAGATGGATGGATGGATAAAATTTAAGGCTGCCCTTTTGCTTTATTTCTAAGTAAAAACAACAGATTTTATGGTGCCCCCCTCCCCTCCATCTACTTGTTTATTTTTGCCAATAAGCTGTGCTCCTGAAAGACTGCAGCAGCTGGAAGAGACAATGCAGGACATGCTTCAAGCAACAAAAGGTCATTGACCCAGTATAATTTACAGTTCAACCATTACACCACAAGGACAAAGTGTTTAGAAGCGTAAAAATACTCAAAATACATATATTAAAACAAAATCTTTGTTTTTGATATCAGTGTTTGTTTTTGTACTTCAATACTTTGCCTCATCTATTGTAATTCATATTATAAGCTGCAAAACACACACACAAGCCAGAAGACAAACCTGAATCCAAAAAGAAAAAAAATCTGTAATTACAATGTTGTTTCAAAATATACCTTGCCAAAGTAAAAAGTATGAATGCTACATCAAACCTCACAGGTTAAAAGTAAAGTCATCTAAAAAAATTAACTGACCATGGCACGTTGTTGCAGGATCTGTCAGATGCAGATCTGGTGACAGTGGCTGAATAACAAGCCCACTTCATGAACAATGAAGACAAATTAATAACTTTTGAATTCAATTAAGCTGCTTCTGTTTCAGGATTTTGGATTTGTGCATGCTGGCTCACTTGTCATAAACCAAGATGCTAGAAGAGCACGATGTAATTATTGTACGTCTCTCCTGCTGTTCGTCTCCTCTCACCTGTCAGTCCTGCCGGCCTGCTGTTCAGTCACAGTCCCACATAAAGACTGAAGAAAAGAAAAAAAAAACGAAAATCTGAGATGATCTCAAGCTCCACATCAGCCCAAAACATGGGAAGGAATCTGTAGCTATCTGCTATGAAGACCCCCCACCACTCTAACAACCACAGAGCTCTCAACGGCCTTGATTAACCATTTGTGTTCATGTCCTCAGAAGTAACATGCTTCCGCAATTTCGCTGCTCACTTGAGTTGCTTTTCTCGATCTAATGATCGCATGCAGAGGGGTAGAGGACTTGGTTTGGGGGGAAAATATTGAGACATTTATGAAGGAAGCAGTTTAGTTTGGAACAATAGCATCATTTTTGTAATGCTAATGAATAAAAAAAATGTAAGGATCTATCAAAGTACAGTTACAACAGAAATGACCTCGTCTGCAGGGAGTCGTTCTCGAGCCACATAATATTAAAATCAAGTAAAGAATAATAATAAATATATATATAAAACTCCAATCTCTATAGGACAGGGATTTTCTTACAGCTTGAGGCATACTATAATTGTTCATTAAAACTAAAATGTGTGTTGGTTGTTGACAGAGGATATTCAGACTAATGAGCTCACGGAGACACTCAGGCCATCTTTGATCTTAAGCAATAAAACACAAGGGCCTGGCTGTCTCTGCCTGGATACAAATAAGTGCACATCCACATTTATTTTTCCTGAAGTGCACATCGCAGACTGCCCTGCAAGACTCATTTGTTCAAACGGAGAAAGAACAAAGAGCAGGTGGCACGCGATCTTCCGCACCTGCCAAAAAAGACTGGAAAAACAACAAGGATGCTTTATTTAGAAAAAATAAAATAAAAGCTTGAAATCCTGACAAGAAAAATACTGTATTTTTTAGAATGTGAAAATTACAAGCAGCTTAAAAAACAAATACTGTATTTTCCGGTGTATAAGTCGTTCCAGAGTATAAAAGTCACATCAGTCAATAAAAGCATAATGAAGAGGAAAATATATATATATATATAAGCCGCATTTATTATGCGTCACTGCTGACCCGTCAAGTTTATTATGCGTTTATTTAATGATTAAAACGGCTTCATTTTGCCTGGGTGGCACAACACCATCCATCCATCCATACATCCAACCATCCATCCAACCATCCATCGTGGCCAGAGCTGCTAGCTCTCCAGCGTTCCTCTGCCTGCACCGGCTGAGTGAAGCGAGTGCGAACGGTACGACTCGCTGTTGCAGTTCTTAGAAATTTAAAGTGTCTGTCAAAAATTCTGTTATAAATAAGGAAAGAAAAAAAAAAATATATATATATATAAGTCACAGGACTCACAAATCTACGCAAAAAACTGACTTATACGCCATAAAATACGGTAACTGTCTTTGTGAGTGTATTTCCACTCTGACCAACTATAAATCCTGGACAGGTTGAGGTATTGTTTAAAGTGGAATCTTTTTTTCTTTCTTTCTTCAAGATTTCAGGCTTTTGGGAAGACGTCAGAAAAGTAATAGCACAGTGGAGAGTAGAGGAAACGTCCCACATTTAATAAAATTACTAGAAGTGTGAAGGCCCCATTCTTTGCTCATAATTATTTCATGCTAGCTTTGGGGCAAAGAAAACTCCCATCTTAACCTCCCAACAAACCGAGCAGCGCCTCCGGAGCGAGTTGCAGAGTGTGTGCACAGCTGAGGCCGGCTAATTAAATGAGAACAGCTTCCGACCATAAACTCCAGTCAAGGAAGAGCTTCCTCTGCCACCAGGCTGCACGCTAAATCTGCTGAAAGACGAGAATCTCTGTTCGGGCTGTGGAAGTAGCTTTTGCTGAGGGAGATGCAAAAACAGCAGCTTCCTTTTTACCTCAAGGCAGAGTCAGCAATAGTTTCATTTGCTTTAACGGTTCACCCCCCTCCATGCTCTTGTGTACGTGTGTTCTTGTCAGAACGATGCCAAAAGGACCAGGGAGTGTGAACAACAAATCAGGCCATCTAACAGCATGTCACTTTACTGCCACAACTCCGACACACACACCAGCAGTTTGTGCAGCTTCAAACCCAATTTACACTGCGTGGACACAAAAACTGTGGCATGCTACATGCTCTTTAGCCTTTTGAGAGGAACGAAGGAGTGGGACTCTGAAGTGCAAATCTGAGATAACTCAGCAGAACAGAATAGGCTGTAGAGAAAATGACCAGCACAAAAGCTGGAAAAGCAGGGGAAAGGAAAAAAAACCTGCAATGAAAAGAAAAGCTGTGCAAAAGAACATTTCTTACACAGAGCTATGTAAATAAGCAGGCTGAGTGGTGAAAAGCATTGATGATTGGGATTCACTGGTTTTACAATGAGCATGGCACACAGTGTGCACAGCTGCCTCGGGCCAATAGCAGCGCGATCTGAGTGTCCAGAGCCATGAAAGGTAGCCTCACAATGAAGGATCACTTCAAAGAACTTGTAAACAATGGCAAGCCCATTTCAATCATGTGTGTCGATAGATAATCAGCTAAAAATATACACGTCCTCCTCCGTTTCAAACATCACTCACCAGGCGTGGGCTGTCCAGGAGACAGCCAGCGAATATTCACATCAAAATAAAATATTTATGCTGGAAAATAAATGTCGAATGAGATCTAATTTCGCACGAAGACTAGCTAAAGGTCTTGCAGATAGCATCTTATACACTGAAGCATCTTGACAGGACATCTGTCATTGCTTAATGTGTCTCTGCCCTGTCTTCATGCGTTCGCTTTAAAAGGTCACGTTAAAGCTTTTTAATGCCTTCTGAGACAATCTGCATGTACATTCTAAAACTTGAAAGACCCACAGCATCATGTTCTGAATTTTAGCACCACTCACTGCTACAAACAAGGAATTAAATAAAAATCTAAGAAGCTAGGACCGCTACTGGTTACGGAAGTGCTTGAAAGCACCATTTTCAACTACACAGCCTAACAATTCTAAGCTACAGCTAAAATTGTCACCAGCCTAAAATGCTACGGCTAATGCATCCTAATCTGCTCACCTCAGGACCCCCACCACATGGCCCAAGGAGCAGACATGAGTTTAGAGAAAATAATCCGTGGGGCTGTAGTAGAGGCGTCTAGCAACCTCCTGACGAGTGTAGTTGTGGAGAATCCACGACTGTAAGGGGGTGTTGTTACAGTTCTCCACCGTGGGACCGTAGGTGCCATCCTCCAAACGGCTGATGGTCAGACATGACTGGGTGATGATGTGGAGGAAGGTGTGCTTCTGCAGCGAACCAGGAGGGAGGAAGGACAGATGGTCATGAAAGACAAAAGAAGTCATTGTCGTGCTTAAACTGGAGCAACTTTAAAGTTCCCCACTTTCTTCAGCTAATACGCAAGACTGGTGTATTTTACAAAACTTTTCATGAAATGTTACAGATACTTATAGAGTTGAATCTATTTTCTATTCCAGTGGTTCTCAAACTGGGGTCTGCAAAAAAATTATTAATAAATAAAATTTTATTATTATTATTATTTTATTTTTTTACAAGCACGTAGACATTTAACCCATTTAAATGCACCAAAATGCAGGAAATCACATCTACTTTATTCAACATTTTCTGGGGGAGGACCCCCAGTCTCCCTGCACCCCGTTCCATCTGCTATTTGTGTTTCGACATTGATCACTTTACAAATTGAGCCCTGTTACTTGGTCTGACTACTGCAGTTATGATTCTGCTCAGTTTTATGTAAAGTGTTTTCTGTAATAATTTGAAGAAGTAGCAATATATTTATGATGGTCATTGTGGGAATCGATAAAGTTTTAACTTTTATTTAACTTTTAAGTTTCAACCGTCAAAGTTTTAACCACTAGACTGAGAAACAGCTTCTACCCTGAAGCTGTTAGACTTGTGAATCCCTAATCAGGATCATCACTGTAAAAAAAAAAAATCACTGTAATGCCACTTTAATTGTTGATGCTGCTGACTTTTCATGCTGCTGATCTCATGCTGCTGATTTATTTCATGCTGCTTGTTCAATTTGTACTCATCTGCTCACAAAGACTCATGTTCGGGCTGCTGTTGTTCGTCGTAGTGTTTTTGTACTAGTGCTTAGCGTATTCTTAGTTTAGCAAATTTCTTAGTTCATATCAAATTTTATTACTGTTTTTCTTTTACAATTTATACTTTTGTTGGATGTAACTGGTACCCTGTGTATACAATTTTGTTCCACCACATGTACCACATGTGATGAGAATAACAATAAAGAACCCTCGACTTGAAATGGTTTTTGATTCTGTTAATTTTCTCAAAACTGTCATTTTTGGAAGTTGAATATTAAAATTTTTGTTAAGTGTGTCTTGAATGAAAAATACCCCATGTTTAAAAGTGCAAAAATTGTATTAACACTATTAAAGAACAGGTCTCAAGTATTAATGTTATACAAATAGTTCCATTGCACTAACGAGACAAACTGAAGAAAATTATTGGGTTATGAGGTGGTCCCGGAAACTTTTTGTCCCCTGTAAGAGGTCCCTGAACCCAAAAAGTTGGAGAACCCCTGTTCTATTCCTATTAGGTTTTGAGACACGTGTTTTGGTCATGGATTTGTCTGAACCTAAAATCCAAGACATGAATTCAAGCAGTCTGCAAGGACGAATTAAGAATCTGAAAGAACTAAAACACCTGAGCCACATTTCTGTCCTGCATGCCTCTCTTGACATTTCTTTGTGGGTCTAACTAATTTATTCAGCCGAGCGAAAATTTGTTTATTACATGATGCATGTTTTGTACCGTTCTGTTTGCATAAAACTGAACATAAACTGAAATTATAGCTATTTTGGTTTGTGTGTTTTGATCGCTTGTTGCAGTCTGAGACATCAGATTCAACTGTTCAATTGTACAACAGCTTTCAATCCAACATGACATGAATGCAGCGTCATAAGACTATTTCACTTCATTTTATAGATTAGATTATAGAAAAAATAAAAAAATATTCACTTTGCTTGCTGAATGTTTCTCTTTTTCTAAGCACGAGTTAAATACTTCTGTAGCCATTAATTTGCATTTTACCTACATGCAACTTTACACATACAAAAAAGTAAAGCTGAGTGAATAGAAAATCCAGCACCCCTTTGTATAAATGTTAATTGTAGTGGTTCAGCACCGTTGAAATCTAGCTAAAGCATCACCAGGAATATAAAGAAATGAACATGTGAGAGTGAAACTGATGCCCACATGAAATGTTCAGGTTGCTGCAGGACTCAGTCCTTGTCAGTCACACCTGAGCCAAAAATAACCTCAGCCCACCGACACCGGTGAAGCCCCAGCGCTGTTTACCAGAGAGAACAAGTCCACTTCCTTCATTATTTATTCAGCTGTTTTCACTTTAAGAAAGCCCCAGAGGACAAAGAGTAATTAAAGAATTTCTCCCGGGGTTTCTTAGAGCTCGATGGAACGGCCTGAAGGCTCCTTCACATCGTCACGCAAACATGTCAGCAAAATGACATTTGAATCACTCAAACCAGAACACTGCAGGACTTTACCTTTCTCCAGTGAATTAAAAACTTGTGAATTCTTAAAACTATATAATTTGAGTTGTGTAAATCATAAAGTTGTATTTCTTTTAGTCAGGCAACAAGGCAGTGGGTAAGATATTTTAGCTCTTTAATGAGATTCTAAATGGCTTTTTACTTCCTGCAAACTGTTCCTCCATATGACTGAATATTGAAATCACAGCTGCAAGCAGGAGGTATTAACCTTTTTGAGTAATATGCAGCAATCTGCACAATTTATTTCACCTTTGCTCCCACTTTTTGTAAATTATGACTTTTTTTTTTTTACGTCTCTGTTATCTGTAATTTGTAAATGCTAGAAAAAGAACAAAACTCTGAGTTGTTTGTGTTTTACTACACTGGTATATTAATATATATAAATATGGTTTGGTTTTGCTTTCTGTTAGCTTTTGTTTTGTTATTTGTGCTTTTGGAATATGTAAGCTGCTTTTAAAGACTGCTCATCAAGTTCAACATTTGTTTATTGTAATCACTGAATACATAAATTGGCTTCATATTTTGACTACACAGTGCAAGTACTGATGTAGTTTCACTTTTTGTGATATTTTTACTTTTTGTTATTAATTTATCATTTCATTTTAGTTACAACGTTGCTACAGTCTATCACAAAAAAGACTTCAGTTCACTAAAGATTCATTTAATCTAATGTAACAACCACCGACCCTTCATGGCCCACACAGGATGTCAGGACACTTGAAGCACAGGACACAAACTACGGGGAATAAGGAGGGACTGACTTGGACAGCTTACCTCAAAATCATACTCCCACTTGCCAACATACTATATGAAATGAGAAGATGAGAAACACAGCTGCTGGATAGAAATAGCAACTCAATCCCTGTGTTGTTTTATAGAAAAGACAAAAAAAAAACAGAGAAACACAGGCAGAGTGCCATCTGGTGGCAGCACAAGGTTGCTTTGGTAGAACCCAAAACCTCCCAACTGGATTTACTGCTTTCATTTTGAGAGCACGCACCATCAGGAAGAGAACATGACCGACGACAGAGCTTCACTTAGGACTCTGAACAGAAATCCTACCTCAGCATCGTACTCAAACATCTGGTTGCCCTTCATGTGGTGACACTTGAGCATCAGAACAGGCCCGTTGAGCCGGGACGCATCCAGACAGAGGTCATCTGTCCTGATTTCTTTATCCGCCGTGTATGAGAATACCTGGAAAAAATAAACAAGTAACATCAGGATTATGATATCTTGTACAAGTCACTGTATAAGATTTCCCTTCAGTACTTTCTACTGATGTTGTATTTTTTTCATGCTTTCTTGCAACTACAAGCTCATCAGTTTATTTTAACCTTCCTGCAGAGAAAGGGCTCAAAGGTTCAAAGCATGTTTTGTGTACAGACCCCTTTTAGTTTGTGCTCATGTTGGAGGGGCTTAGATTGGCTTTGTACATCCGTAACTCAACTCTTGCATTTCAATCTGAACTTGTTTTTAGGATGTATAAACCTTTAGTAAAATTATATATATATATATATATATATATATATATATATACAAATTTACCTACAGACTAAAATTTACCTACAGTGTGGCATCTGTTTTCAGAATTTGCTAGATGTAATTAATTATCTTTAAAAGGGAAAAGTTCATTGTACCATTTGCTGAAATGGAATTTCACTTCATCTGTGCATGTTTCCTGAATACATTGAAACCTGGGGACCTCCCAGGTAAAGTTTCCAAGCATTAACTGGACCAGTGAACTATTTTCTTACTTTTTTACAAAGTGAGCAATCTGAAATGTTCAACTGTTTTACATTTTAAAGAGTTTAATGGTTACTTATAAAAGCTCAGGAATGCTTATATTTATATACAAGTTGAGTTATTTATAAAAAGCTGCTTCACTGGGCTGTTTTGATAACAAGAAATAACCCATACAAATCTAAAAAAAGTTGAAAATCATTTCTAAAGGCCTACATTTTCTCAGTGCCATGTCGTTTGTATAATTTTCATCCTCAGATATTAGGAATAACATACTAATCATTGTAATACTAAAATAATTGTTTTAGGTAGAGCTGTATAGTCTGAAAACAAATTTAAATTCAACACATTTAATTATTAAAAATTATAGACGTGTTCAAACTTTTGCGTGTCCGTGTATTTATGTAGCAAAAATAAGCGCTCCGTATTTTCTGTTACCTGGTTTCCACCCATGCCATGACAATTGAAAAAGCCAAGTTTCTCGTTTTCCTTTCTTCCCATGTTGTCCACACACTGATTGGTCTCCACGTTTCTGATCTGCAGACAAGAAATACATTGTTGGTTTTCAAAATCATATTTGACTCTAGACTGAGGAAGGTCTCCGATACTTCTAATCTTAACTCTTCACAATTAATTAATTAATCACTCCTCACAATGTTTACTTTTCACAACAATTATTCTTAGACTTATGTCTTGCTTCATAATTGCTTACTTGTATTTGTTTAACGACAATGTGTGAGAAGCAAGAAGGAGTTTGCAAACCCAAAGGAGAAATTGCATTTCATATTTTTAATCAAAACAAGACTTTTTTTTTTTACACTTGTACAGCTTTTATGTTCTCTTCATGCCTGAGCCTGACAATTTTATTCAATATTTCAGTTTTACCATTCAAATTTCGTTTTCAATACTTTCAGCTTTACTTAAAAATAGTCCGAAATTATTTAAAAAATTTTAATAATACATGCTTTAATTGACCACCAAGGAATTGTTGCTATATTCATTTTATTTCTTAAAATAGCTTCAGTCTAAAAGTTTGCTCTTTAAAACGATTACAGTATTTCAACATTTATTTTAAATAAAAAGCATTTAGAACCAACTGAGAATGGCATACAGTTTGCTGTGTTGTACATATCAAAGTAAGATTAAATTAAATGCTTTCATATCAGAAACCCAAAACAAAAAGATTAATGAATTTACAGCACCATCGACAACCAGTTTGAGACTAAATTTATCCAAAAGTACAGCCCGATAAATTTAAGGGTTTTTGCAAATTTCCGACATATTCAAGTTTTCTGAAGACACACGTCTCACCTTGAACAGCATGACTCCACTTATCTGTCATCTTCTTTATTGCAATACTAACTAAAAAAAACCTGCCTTGTGTAAAAACAGGTTTACAATGTTCTTTGTAGGCATCAATTACAAACATTTTCAGATTTCTTGGTCTGTACTTAAGTAACATAATGGCTTCAGATGTTTGAAAAGTGAAGAATTTTATAAGCTACAAAATCACCTGACAACAAAATACAAGCTGTTGTCCTAAAATACGAGATCCAAGAGACCAACTTCCACTGCTCATTAAATTCACTTTAAAAGCTGAAATAGTAACCAGAAAAACCCACGTTATCACAGCTCCAAGTTGTTTATATCAGCTTTTTCAAACCCCTTCAGCTTCCTTCAGTGTTAAAACTGAGAGGAAGATTGTCTAAGCCAAATACTTCTCATGTTAAAGTAGGTATATAAGATGTATATGTATATAGGCATGATATATAGGGAAATAGGCTGGTAGGGAAAAGGCACACTGTGTGTTGAAGATGAGACTTGGTCAAAAGAGGCTTAGAGGGAAATGGGAGGAGAGGTGCCGCAGAGGCTAAAGAGTGACAGAAAGACGTGCAGCTTTTACAGCTTTATAGCAGAGCAGCAATGAGGAAAATTCTCCCTGCCTCAGCTGTTGGAGGATTACAAGTTCTTTTAAAGCCTAAATTCTTTGACATAACTTACAAAAAGCCATCTTTGCATGTTGCGTGCCCGTTCTGACTCTACCACGAACGTTGACAAAACAAAAAGCAAATGTGGTCATCAAAAAAGTACACACAAAAAAAACATCTTTAGTCTGAGCGAGATGGAGCTTGACCTTCTGTTAACAGTACTATCATGTTGTAATTGTACATAAATACAATATTTATAAGCACTAGCTCTCATAGCTGCATACCAATTGTGCATTTAAAAAAACTACTTTTTCAGACTGACTTTGAAGAAATAGACAAATTAAAAGGTCTAGCGTGCATATCGCCCACTGCCTTTCATGTCCAAGTTTTAAATGCAAATCGTCTTATGATAAACATTTATATTCCCATTTTCCTTAATGGAATCCTGCATTATCTTATATGATGTTGGGAGATCTTACGAGAAGCGTCAGCACTCGGTATGTGTTGGGGATGACTAGGGCTTAATTTGTAAACCGATCAATGCCGGAACGCAAATAGTGGGTGGACCGGCTGGGGGTGGGGGAGTCCTGGGGAATGTGCATGCTCACAAGACAAGAAACTGTCAAGTTGTTTAATGACATAAAATATATTTTGTTAGCAAATAATAGAGTACTAACACTTATTAAACATTATTTCTGTATTTACAACAAAACAAAAAACGTAAAAATTGTGCTTTGACAAACTCAACAATAAAAAAATGTTGTCAACGCGAAAGAGGAAAAGAGGGGCAGGCATCGCTCTCACTTTGAGTTTACTCTTTGTTGCATGCACGCTGTGGGTGACAAGCGTCCAGAGCGTCGTCCAAACAGCAGCGGAGGTGTCGGAGTTATTTATTTATCATCTCAGCAGCAGAGGGGAGCGACACGGTACAAGCACGGCTCCCAAAACGACAAGGCAGCCATATTTATTCATAACTTTATTGTTGGTAAGCCTGAGAGTTGCCGGATCCGAGCAAACAATTGCCGGAACGCACCCTGACAAAATAAGATTGTTCCGGCAAGATCCAGTTCAAATTGAGCCCTGGGGATGACTATCTGCTACTACCACACCAAATTCAGTCTGTTAAATTGACTAAATTGAAGCCGCTTGTGCGTTTGCTAAGGTTGATTAGAGGTGGTGGCAATCTTGAATTGTGTTGACTTCAAATAGTAATGAGTATGAGTATGTATCTATCCAGTCGTTCATGAGATATTTTGCTAACGGTTCAGACAAACACAAAAACAGACATGGGTAGAAACATGACTGCCGCTTGGCCCTCTGCAGCAGGTGATAAAAATGTGTTATCTAAAACATTCAACAATATGGCACCACAAAACACTTATACCTTCACCTTTTAACATTCATTTTTGCTTTGCTGAGTTTAAATCCAATAAATGCATCTATGAGCATTATCTCACACGCTCAGCATGCACACTATAATTGTGTAAAACTGTTAGACGGATCAATATAAACTGTTCAAGCAGCCAAGGGATTGTTTGTCAGAGACGCTCAATACAAACAACTGGGCATTCTTATTGCTTTTATCTTGTTTTCTCAAGCCTTGGCTGGATTCTCAGATATTCACACATTTATTTTCAACCGTATTGCTTCTCAGAAAACACGCCCAGCAGCTGTGCTTATCTTACTGAACCAAGAAGTAAATATTTGCAGTATGATGGGAAAATTAAAATACAAATGTGCTCATACTTCACCAAGCGAGTAGTATCTCCGTGGGATCTGGGAGTCTGCGTAGATGTTCTCTAGATACCAAGAAAATGGTTTACACTTCAAAGCCTCTCGGAGGGCTTTACGGGAGGAGACGTCTCCGTAGTCCACCCGCATCACGCCTGCAGAGGTCAAGACAGACATTCAAACATATTTATCACAGAGCATCACCAGCATGGATTTACTTTATTTTTTTGGTCAGGGAAGAAAAAAAAGAAGTGAGAAGCTGTTCAGTTTTCATGCATCACCATAACTAAACACCAGAGGGCCCTTTTGCACAAACACATTAAAGCCCAGCCTGAAAGTATGAGCCATGAGGGTGATCAGGGAGGGATTTCCTGTTGAGTTACACAGAATTAACCTGATCTCTGTTGTCCCATTTATACACCCACCCAGCTCAAGATCAGAGAAATGCACACCTGCAACATTTTTGTGAACTACGTTACTTAAGCCAAACACAAACAGACTGATGTATCGACACAGGGGAGGGATTAGACAGCAATTGCGAAACGACACTTAAAAGCACATTTCTCTTTGGATCGTCTCTCATGGACTCACAAGCTGCATGGAGAAAGATCCGGTATATGATATGATAGAGGATGATGGCAAAGAGAGAAAATAAAACTATAAAATAATCTACATTGCTCGCTGTCTTTCATGGCAGTTTTAAACTAAAATAATCTAAAGATGAGTAGGTAAGGAGTTGTAGCTCTTTTTGTCAAACCTTGGCCATGACATTATTCTCATATGAGAAAGGAAACACTTGTGTGATCGGTTAGTGCTTCAACTATGTGTTGAGGATGACCGTCTGCACACATTTAGTTTAATATCTGCAAAACTGACTGAGTTTTAGTCATTTTTAGTGTTGGCTAAGGTCAGTTAGCTGAGGCGGCCATCTTGAATTAGGTTGACACCAAAATGTAATCACCAGTGATTACTTTGACAGTTTCACTAAAGCCTCTCCAGTGGTTTCTGAACTACAGTATTTTGCTAACAGACAAAAATGGTTTGCACCACTGGAAATGACAAAATTTAAAGCAAAGATGTTGCGCAACGTGAAGCAATCAATGTACAGTGGTCCCTCGTTTATTGCGGGGGACCGGGGGATATATATATTTATTTATTTATTTTTTTTTTACGTTCGTAAACTCTAAACACCCTAAAAAACGCAGCATGTCATGAACTCAGCTCTCTGCCGTGGCCTGCTCTGCAGGGAGATCGACAGAGGAGGAGCTGCAGGAGGAAGTTTCTCCTGCAGTGTGGCCTGCAAAGGTGCAGCAAGTGCTAAATAATTTAAAATAATTCATTTTAAATAAAAATTCCATGCCGAAGGTGCGGCTCATCAGTCAATCAGTCGTTGTGTGTCATGTCCAATCTTATTTTAAAAAACCGTGATAGAGCAAAATGAACCGCGAAGTAGCGAGGGACTATTCAGAATCATGCTACGCAACTAGAACAGCAAATTTTACATTACATCTTGTAAATGTACAAGAAAGCGGTTCCACTTTAAATAGAATTGCCCTACACCACTTCCAAAATCGAGCATAGTGACATAGTGTGTTCCTCTGTGCCAATAAGTAAGGCCTGGCAGCAGCCCAGCCCAGATCATTTTCCTTAATGTCCTGCAGGAACAGACAGTCATTGTGGGGCCACAATACACAGTAAAAGCCATCCATCACAATGCTGGCTCTGCCTCCATACCTGCCCACGGAGTCCTGCCTGACTGAATGAAGAAGAAGGTCACAATTTGTGCCAGAAGACCTGCAGATTACGGATGATCCCTTATATGTTGGCAGCCATCTAGAACACTTAGCCAGAGATTTCTAGAAAAGTGCTTTCTGCTAAAGGGTAATCACATTACTGGGTCGACAGATGGAAGGGAGTTCTCATCGCTCAAGCTGTACAGTTACTCTCGTTTTTTCCATATGTGTTTAAGCTCTCTTGGAGAGACCTTTGTCTGACAAATTTCTGAACTCAAGTTCAAGACAGCACTACAAATATGTGTGGAAGCAGAAATGGATTAGTTCTCATTCAGGGTGACAAAGCAGTGTTAGATACCAATGTGCAAGTAGTGGATTATAAAATGAATGAAAAGGACAAGTACCGGACAAGAGAATAAAAGAACAGAGCAGACAATTCCTTTTACAGCCATTTACCAAATATAATACCAGCAATCACAGTTTGGTTTAAGTAACGAGGATTGCTCACATCTGCTTTTAAACATGGGTGAGCAGTGAATAAAAGCATCCATTAAATTACTGACTAATCCATAACTTCCTTTAAATTCATGTTGTTTTAAGTGGTTCGTCTTCAGCACATCCTAATGTCAAAATGACAGGAAGATTCAGCCACAGAGGCAGTTTCTTTGCTCTGTACCTGGTGAGATGATGTAGAAGAAGTCTTTAAACTCATCCATCCAGACTTCAGCCAGGCGCCTGTTGTTCTTGTTGATGACTTGGCCCGTTCCTCCAGGGAAGCTGTAGGGAGTGGCCTTTCGGAAGACGTGCCCCACATGTGAGCATGTCACAATTTCTAAAGACCCACCGCATTGCCAGATCTGGATAAACAGAAAATATTCATTTCAATTTAATTAGTGAATGTATAGGATTGCATCTCAATGTGTGCCTGAATTACCCTCGGTGTAGTCTAATTATTAAGCAAAAATGCACAAATGTGATTATAAATATACAAAAGAAACAAACGCTGCCTGTAGCAATGCAGTTGTCATCAGAAATTAATAATGCTGATGGAGCGGTCCACCTTATTTTATTTCACCAAACGGGATTTTTTTAATCTCTTTTATGAATCTTCAGCATTGGGCACTATGATTAGGGTTTAGGATAAAAAACTAGAATCTGCAAAGGGAAACTGCCATCAGCTATTTCAGGTAGAATGATGCGTTTTCATTCACTCACCCTGAAAGACATTTCCAGATTTTCTCCACCCCATATATCCATCCCTGGATCATAGCTTCCAATTTCTTCAAAATAAGTTTTGTCTATAGAGAATAAACCTCCTGCCATGGTGGGAGTCCTACAGAAGAAAAAAATAATAATGCAACATGAGTACAAGGCACTTGAAAAATAATTTTAAGACAACTTTTTGAGTCAAAACTGAATCATTTGTTTTCTTTTCAAATGATCAAGTGCTATTCAATCCAGTTTAAATTCAATAAAAAGGAAACCAGCGTAAGAGAGATTTAGAGGGGGCTTAAGTAGTTGTAAGAGAAAATAATATTGTGAACGAAATCTTTAATGAATAATAAAGCCACTGCATTGATTAATTTGTTAAATTTTAAAAAAGGGTAAAAAAAAAATTAAGTAAAATAATAAATAAATAAATATTTGTTTCAAGGAATATTTGATAATATTTCTTGCTTGGAACATCCATGTTGTAATTGTATCGTCTTGTAACTCAAAAAAACAAAGGATAAAATGAAAACACAATTTGTTTGACAAAATAAAACAAAGACGGGATAGCTTTTATCTTTTAATTTGGTCAGCAATGACTTAGGGACGCTGTTAACGAGTGATCAGAATATAGATAAATGGTGATCACTTTGTGAATCCAAAGCAAAGTTTCCAATAGTCTATTTAGGGATATGCTATGCACATATTTAAACTAAAGAAAAAACTAAACCTTGCAGGGAAATAATTTATTTTTTGCTTTTCCAAGAGGAGAAGAAGCGGTTTTTTTTTTTCCGCCACATCAGAAAAACACTATAAATTGTTTGGGTAAAGCAGTCATTAAATTTTGTGTTTATGAGAGGGAAATTAGACCCTCACTGTCCTAAGTTTTAATGAAATTACATCAATTAAACATGAGGAAATCTGGACACCCATTTGCTTGAAAAATAATTTAGATTTAGCATCTGAGAAGGAAGAATTATTATGTTTCTTTTACCGAACAGGAAGTGTTCTGTCTCCTTTACGTCGATCCATCTCCCTCTGGGGAACAGGGTACCATCGAAAATTCAGCTTCCAGTTGAATCCACCATAAGTCATATCCGAGCCTGCCATGTACTCGAACGTCTCATCACTGATGACGTCAATGATTGGACACACCACTGCTGACCTGATAGACAAAAAGGTATATTCAGATATGAGATGGAATGGAGCATGCATGCATTTAACATGTATAACACATCTTATACAGATCAACAATAAGATTAAAATGGCTGCAGAGTAATGGTTCATAATAAAACATTGGAATGAACTGTGACATTTTTGGAGCATGGCGTTTTTTCAAGATGACATCAATTCACTTCAGCCTGATACAAACTGGTTGTTCGCTCATCAATCCAGTCAGATCTAAACTGATGTTGTTCAAAGAGCTATCTACAACAGGTAAGATGTTAATTATTCATAAACTTTCCACAGAACACGTCAAAAGATTAGAGCTCTACATTCAAACAATTTTTTTTTGTTCTACAAAGCAGAATTTTTAGATTTTCCAGTGTTTAGTCAGTACAGAAACACAACAAAGAAAACGCCCCCGTTCTGTTGGCATTTATGAGCATGAGCAACCTTACCAAAATACAACATCAAATTTAACAAAAGTTTCAAGACTAAACATGAAGAAGAAATTGTCTGACTGTAAGAAGCTCCACTGCATTGCATTGCAATGGCCCTAAAACTCCCATCATATGTATCAGCTTTTATCTCAAGTCCCGTGTATGGTCCCTGCGGCTCCTACCTGTCTTCTTTGATCCGAGTCAGCAGGGGCTCCAGCCAGCCGATGGTACACTCACAGTGAGCGTCGAGAAAGGTGATGACTTGACCTGTGGTGGCGGCGGCCCCCCTCAGCCTGGCTCTAATCAGACCTGAACGCTGCTCCATCCTCAGAATCTTCACCGGCACCTCTAAAGTTTGCACATAGCTCTCAAGCTGCATCTTCAAAAAGTCTGATAGAGAAAGAGATAGTGCAGAACAACTTAACTGAAGCTGAAATAAAAAGATATCTACTTATTTGTTTAATAATAAATAAAAAAGGATATTTTTTCACATGTATTTAAGATGAAACTGATCATTTTAATACATCATCAATATAATCCAAAATTTCTAACAGTCTATGTTTTAGAGTTAGTTCAAGAAAGTTTTTTTAACAACAAAACTTAATTACATACGTTTGTGTGTATCTTAAGCTTTTAATAATAACTGGTGAATCAGCAATGTTTTTAAATATCACTAGAAAAATTACATTTCCTAAGAAAATGCAGTGTGAATGCTTATTGCTGAAGAACTTGCTAAAAAACTGTTGACATTAGCTAAAAATGTACTGAAATGTAGCAAATTGTAGCTAAAATGGAAAAACAAGCCTAAGTTAGCAGAAGAGAGCAGAAAGAACACATATTTGCTGAAATAGGTTTAAATAAGCAGAAATTAGAACAAAAAATTAGGAAATTTGCTAAAAAGCTGAAATTAGCAAAGAAAAGAGCTGAAAGGTAGTTGAAAAGGCAGAAAGAAGCTTAAATTACCAGAACAAAGTTGAAGGAGCTGAAATGAGCTCAAACAATGTGGAATTAGTTGAAAAAGCTAAATTTAGCACAAAAACAGCTAAATAGTAACTGATATAGAATAAAGCTGAAACTATCAGACAAAAGCTGAAAGGAGCATAAAAAGCTGAAATTAGCATAAAGAAGTTAATTAGGCTGAAAGTAGCGTAAATTACCATAAAAAATGAATTTATCTGAAAACAGCTGAAATTAGCTAAAGAAATGCTAAACAGCCTGCTGAAAAAGGTAAAAGAAGCTTAAATTATCAGAAGAAAGCAGAAAAAACACGTTTGCCCAATTAGGCTGAGAGAAGCAGAAATGAGTGCATGAAGTGGAAATTATCTGGAAAAAGTAGAAATTTGAAGGGAAAAAAATAGATGAAAAGTAGCTAAAAAGCATAAAGAAGCTAAATTACCAGAAGGAAGTGGAGAGAACACATTTTTGCTGAATTAGGCTGAAAAAAGTTGAAATGAGTGCCAATAATGTGGAATTAGCTGAAAAGTCTAAAATAAACATAGAACAGCTAAATAGTAGCTGAAATAGAAGAAAAAAACTGAAGTTTGCAGAAATAAACTGAAAGGAGCATAACAAACAGAAATTAGCAGAAAGAAGGTAGAAGAGGCATAAAAATGTTGTAGTTAGAATCTGAAAGGATCACAAAACCGCTGAAAGAAACAGCTGAAATTAGCCGAAAGTAGCTGGAAAAAAGTTCAAATTTACACAAAGAAGTGGAAAGAAGCTGAGCCAGAACAAAATGAGAAGCAGTAAAAGATTTAAAGATATGAAGGATGTAAAATGAGCTCAATTAATTTTCTAGGAGAAAAAAGTGGCAGAAAAGGCTAAATATTTCAAAACGTTAAAGCTTCACCAACACTAAAAGTCATAGCAGGATTGTCCTGAAAGAGCTGAATGTTTTGATATGATTTGTTGAAATAGCACAAAAATTGTGGAATGAGAAAGATACCGAAAAATGTACGGAAGAAAAATAGTTCACAATAGTGTGAATGTTTCATAAACATTCACACTATTATTATAAACAAATGGTATTATTGATAAATTCGCAGAAGCAGACCAGAGATCAGAGAAAAAGCTAATCTTACCATTAACCTAACAAAAGATACTAACTTTTTTCCTAAGCTATGATATTTTGCCAAGTGAAAATTTATGAACTGAATAAGAAAACTTTGTCTGGAAATCAGATTACGCCTCCTACCCTGGGAAGGAAAAAAACTTGTTAAGAAAAATGACATTTTGATGACATTTTTCTGCTCTAATTTTAGCAAACGTATCTACTGGGGATGAGTGATAGGATAAGAAGCTACAATTCAGCTGAACACATTCATGTTAACTTCTTAAAAAGAGTGTCATCCTATCTGATATCAGCAGACACATTAAATATCCCTCTCAGACCAGCAGGGGAACTTTACAGACCTATAATCAATAAAAACTCGTAGAGAGGGAGGATTTACTAAAATTAGCATGAGTTCTCTATCATTCTTTGGCAAGAAATTCTTCACAGATATAAAGGGAATAACAAACTTTATTTCTGAAATGATAAAAATGTGACACCTTTACTTAAATATGGTTTCACTTTGAGTTCACTCCAGATAGCTTAAAATTGATTGCAGTCCAAGCAGTCCTTAGCAATATTGATATTTCAATTATTTTTCTTTGCAGCCCTGGCTGTGATTCTGTCAGGTATAAAATACAGTCCATTTGGTGAGGTGGTGATGACTTAGTCGCACAGCACCAACCTCGCTCGCTGGCATCGTCCACCAGAACAATCTCCACTAGCAGGTGTCTCGGAGAGCGGTTTATGATGCTGTGAACGGTCCGCAGCAAGGTGCTCCATGCCTCGTTGTGAAACACAATCACAATGCTGGTGTTGGGCAGGTCATCTGGGTACAACTTGGTCTTACAGCTGACAGCGAAACACAGATAAAAGGGAAACGGAGAGCTTTACAAAACTATAAACTCAATCTAAAATCATTTGTTCGAAAGCACGAGGTCTGAACATATGACCATATTATTTAAGAACTACACCTTTAAGAGACTTTTAATTATATAACATTATTATAGTGTCTAAATTTGAGAGGGAGACAAATTAATGAGAACAATGAAGCTGCAAGGAGTAAACATATTAGAGCTTTAAGCAAATACATTATTTGAATGTGTCTTCAGACAACACCATAAAATGACAGTTTTAAATAAGTAGCATCTAATTCTTCTAATCTCATAGCAAATTAAAACAATTAGCTCACTTGTTTCTGCACGAGTTACAATTTTGCTCATTTTAAACCTAGATTTATATGTATTACATATTATACACATTTAAAATTCATATCACGAAAAGAGCAGCTTATTAAAATCTCTGAAAGTAGTTTGAGTATCCTGCTGCTGTCTAACGCTGCCACCAGTGCAGAAATATTCCCAAAAGGGATTTACTGACAAATATCTTGGAAGAAAGTGAAAAATGTAAACCCAGCGTTGACAGCGATGCCAGCATGTCTTTGGCTTCATGTGATGCATGTGAACGTCTAACAGCGAGGGTGCTGTAATCTCAAGACGCTCCTGGACTGGATGTTACTGAATAAAGAAACAGCTATGTAACAAAAAAGGAGCTGGACAGCAAAAGTAGCCTGTGTGGCAGGAGGAGAGGTTGTGAGAAGTGACGGAGGGTGAAAGAAGCCACCGGAGCAGACAGCAGCGCTCGCTCAGTCTCGTCTATTCAACATGACAGCGCAGACTGACACAACTAAGCCAGGAGGTTGCCTTCAAATAAAAATGTTATTGCCCTTCAGAAGCAACTTGCAATTCTACCCAGGTTTGAATGTTTTACTGCAAACCCCAGATATTTTGCAAAGCTCACTTTTGGAATACTTTAATGGAGTGATAATGAACAGAAAATTTCAGAGTTGCAGGTCACCTTTGATGGAAGTAATTAAAACATTCAATTCTAAGTTTTAGTCTTGCCGTTCCCTTCTGCAGGTGTCACCACAGCAAATTAACTTATGTTAGATGCCCTTGTTGCAACCTGGGCTCAAAGCTGCAGCCTCAGGATTACAAGACAGAATAACTGACCACCAGAGTCCTGTATGTGAGTCCACATCTGTGTGAATATTTGTTAAAGCAGATGTTTAATGGTCAGTACAGTAATATGATTCACCGCAGCCACGTGGAAGAGATCCAAGTCGAAGCTTACACACCCATCCAGCCTGACGTCAGGTAGACTCCTGTTGAGTGCGATCATGTCACTGGCCATCAGATTGAACTGGTTAATCTTAAAGAGCTCCTTCATTTTTTCCTGGTCATTCTTGGGGATGTTTACTGCCTTGCCCATCTCGCCTGGACCCTCGTGGCTCCGAGATATCGCCGCTGTAAGATAACAGACATTAGGTTCACTAATGAGGCGCAAATTAGTAACAAACTGAATCATCAGCAAACACATTGTGCATATTTTTTTTTTAAATTCGATTTGAAAAAGGTTTCGTCCTTTGGGCTAAAGAAACTGAATGTTTTACAGGACGTTTGTCCTTTTTCTGAGAAATCATTTTCTGTACTAGAAAAAACCCAGAGCAAAAAGCCAAACTTTTCTGATAAAGAACAGAGAGCACACGTAAAATAGAGACTTTATGTTCTGGAAATGTGTGTGCCATTTCTGCATATTCAAATACTATTCTGTATGATTACTATACTATATTTATTCAGCGAGTAGCATAAATGTAGCAGTTCACTTACTGAAAGCTTGAGTGAATGAAATCTTAGAAGAAGAAAAAAGCCTTTAGTACTGGCAGAACAGACACCCTGCATAAACTCCATCCTGGATGCTTTGGCTTAGGCTGACTTGGTTTTAAAGTGACTGTGACATAAAACTTTTGTGATAAATACAAACGTGTTATTAGAAAGATAACATATTGCCCAAAAGATTCATGCCACTGAGATGTACAGCTGTTAAGATATGGTCACAAATGTCACTAAAAAGGCCTTCTCAGACTGCTCTGATGTGTAGGTTTGAGAGTAGACAAGTAGTAGACGAGCTTTTCCGCCATGTTCCGTAACCACAAGCGACAACGAAGAGAAGCGCCTGAAAGCGACGCAAACTCACATCTGTTGTTGCACTATTGCTATTATGTGTGTTATGCCACATGTCTTACATATTAATGTGTTTTCTTACAGTCTTTGTAGGAAATGAATGTCGCGGACACTTTAAGCACTGCGCAGTCTGGCAGCTATATTTACAGTATTTTCATAGATAATCTATTAAACTGCAAAAAAAAAGCACTAATACTATACCTGTGCAAAATGTTCATATGAAAGTAAAATGATTTATTCAGCAACAATAGTCTTCTTGGCAAGACTCCAACAGTCACATGCCTACAGAACATCAGCAGATTAGTATTGAGCTGCAGCTCCTTTCACCAAAGGTAAATAACCTCTGATGGATTTATGGCTTTGCACTCCCCCCACTCCTCCCCTAATAATCTCTTAAAACTAAGGCAGTGATTTCCATGAAAGGTGAGAGTACATGAGACACTGGCTGCATGGCCGACAATTAAGAGGATTCCCTTCAACCTGTACTGAGACAGACCATACTGTTAGCCACAAATAACACAGAGATGCTGACATGCAAATTTTGCCTTACTCCAGTTTGGATCTGATAGACTCCACTCCTGAGCTGGATGCCTGAGCACAATATCAAAGCATGTTCTTATCCTTCTTTAATCCATCATTCTTGCATGTACAGACACACACAAATGTCTTGCGCATTAAATATGCCAAAATGTAACAGCTGTGCAGTGATTTTGTAGAAAGGGGAGGATTCAGTAAGTGTTTAAAATAGGAGTACAAAAAAAAACTATCCATTAGTTCATTCTTTTCTGCTCATCAGTGGTCAGTTCGGAAAGGCAACAGTCCAGGAAGAAAACCCAGACAACCAGAGACACTCTCCAGGTCCTACTGATCCCAAGACATACCTACTTCAAGGTCTCCTCCCAGTAGGACATGCTTGGAAGTCCTTTAATGAGAGGCACCCAGGAGGCATCTCATTTAACGCCCGAATCACCTTAGCTGACTCCTTTCAGTGTGCAAGAGCAATGGCTTTACGACAAGCTCCCACTGAATGATGAAGCATTTCACCTCATATCTAAGGCTGACCCTACGAAGGAAGCTCATTTCAGCTGCTTGTATCAAACATTTAGCTCTTTGAGTCATGATCCATGCCTCATGACTATAGTTGAGGGATGGAACACAGACAATCCAAGAGATTGGTCTTTCAGCTCTGCTCCTTCTACACAACAGATCATACCATCATCCTAATTACTGCAGATGTACCTTGATCCTACAATCCCTCTCACGCAGCTTTGCTTTTGTCTTCCTCACCTAAATACAGTTGTCCCTCGATACTTTGTGGTTCAACTTTTGTGGACTCACTCTTTCTGGTTTTCATCGTAAGATTACACACATTGTTTCATGGTGGTCTGGCCCACTCAATGATCGCCAAGGGGGCAGAGAAAGGAGGGTCTGTCACGGTAGAGCAGAGAAACACCACAAACGGGTGCCCAACCTGTGACAGAGAGCCTCAGAAAGAGAAAGGAGGGGGTGGGGTCTGTCTTTCCCCATCACTGTTTTGGGAGCTTCATTGAGGCAAATACCAGAGTGAGCGGTATGGTTCGGGAAATGTCCCAGTGCTCCCGATGGCCAGTCCATCCCCGGGCATTGATTGGCTCAGTAACCGTAGCAACAGACTGCTCTCTTTCGCTGTGCTCTTTTAGAGCGTTTAGAGCATTGTTAAGAACACTGCTAAAGCATATAAATACTAAAATAAATATAATCTCCCTACTTCGCCGATTTTCACCTGTCACGGAGCTGTCTGGCACAGCCCACGATAAGTGAAGGACTACTGTACATTATATCACCATGGGGCACACTTTAGTGCAATGACTAGATTGTCTGGCTGTCTCCAGTTTATTCTTTCTTTATCAATCAAATGATCAGTCAAAGCAGGCTGACTGCTTCTAGATTTAAGCTGAATCATCAATAATTTAGTGAGCACAATGGACCATTTTGGTTTATTTATCCTTTTATTATTTATACAGATAGTCTCATTGAGTTATGAGAGCTCATTTTCAAGAGAAACATGTTTTTGGGAGCAGATGGTGGGGGTTAAGGGCCTTGCTCAGGGGCCCAGAGTGGGGCGAATGAGGGTGGAGGCAGGTGTGGGTGTTTCACCTTTTCCACCCATATTTTGATATTGTCGGTACCGGGAGTTGAACCTGTGACTTTCCAATCACAGGCCCATCTTCTCTAACATCTGCGTCACCACTCCTCTTGGTTTATCCATGTACCTAAAACAAATAAAAAATGTTTAACTATGGAAGACGTTATTAGGTGGTTGGAAGAAGTTTTTATTTCACATGAAAGTTCACATTAAATGTTTCATGTCTCAAACACGATTCTTATTTCTGCTACACAGCATGGGTTTAATATTTTAGTGTTTGGCTTTAAAGTGGGCTTTAAATAAATCCACCTACCGACTAACAACTCTACGAGACAAACTGACATCTACTTGTCATGTGACATTAGTTGACAGACGTTTAGGCAGAGGTGGATATTTATGTACGGGTGTTGGCAGATGAGCTGTCACCACAACACAAACCTGTTGAAAATGTCATTTTTAGCTTCAGTACAGCGATTGCTTGAAAAGAAAAAAAACGTTAGTTTGTATCAACAAAGTCCATGCTCAATAATCCAGGTTTACAATCCAACATTTTTCAGTTCGGTCGAAACATTTGAGCACAAAAAAAAGAAACTGTCCAGATGACCTGACTGAAAAATGTTGTTAGTTTGTATATTCAAATGTGATTTTTCTAACTGGACTTGTTTATTATTATTTCTCAAAAGTGAATGAGAGCCAACTAAAGTTTTCTTGCTTTTTCAGAGCTTGCAGTTTCCTGTAATGTCCATTTCTTGATGATCTTTCAATTTTAAATAGAAGCAAATATATCAATTTAATACTCATTTTTTTTGGATGCATCAATGGGCTTTCTTTTAGATCTTCACAGTAAGTCAAGTTCAGAGTTCAGCCGTCATTAGCTGGCAACTTTTAATCACAGCTCTTGACCTGATTTTAACGCTCTAAAAAGTAAAATAATGACAAGGTAAAATGAAGTAGAATGACCCCTAAATTTCTGTAGATGGCACAAATACTTGCTACAATTAGTATATTTTGTTCTTTTATTTCTTGACATTGCATTTACTTTATTATAGTTTTAAAACAGCTGAGTTGTTTTATCTGCTTTTCACTCCACAAAATTTATTAGTTTGCATATGGGGTTCAAATCTTTAATGAATTTGTCAATTCTTGAAGCAACTAATAAGATCAAAATTTATTTGAGCCATGCTTTATAAAGAACAGTTGCCACTTGAACAAAAATTCCTACATTATACTTACATTGAATCATTTAAAATATACTTTTATTGTCATTATAGATAACTACTTTACCTCCAGAGCACTTTTTCCATCTGTATTGAAATGTCTGAGACGTTCATTATCGTCTCAGCTGGTCTGTCAAGGTGAACACCAAACTGCATGCAGATTTTGTGTTGTGTTCATCACACGGGCTCCAACGTCCTGCAGCTCGATTCATTCTCATTTACTTTGTAGAAAAATATCTGTGTAGTGGTGCACAGCTGGAGGCGCCTTAGACTCGATCCATTACCACCACCTCCTCCTCTTCCTCTTCTTCCTCCTCCTCACTTTGCTGCTCTGCTTTTCAGTCTGCAGGTCTGACACAGCTGCCATTACATTACAGATCAGAGAAGCTGCATTTCTACACACATCAGCAGAGCAGGTACAAACTGCAGTTATAGGCTCCTTACCTCCACTGTTTATGACTGATGAGTAACTTACAAAGAATAATGCTTTAAATTGGTTTGGATGTTTTCATATTCAATCAAAAGCCTGCTATAGTTAGAGTAAAAGGAAAAGTTAATTTAGCTGCGTAGGTTTATTTACAATAAATCACAGAGGATTACATTTCTTTGTTCTTTTAAATTTATGCAAATGGGTTTATTGTGTGTCTACAAAACTGACTAATCAGCACAGGTCATTTAAAGTCCATTAAAATAAATAAATCATAAAATTATAGTTGTCCATTATGAGTCTCTTGTAAAGTAAACTTTATTTGACTTGAATCCAACACTGAAACAAAATTGACTAATTTGACTTGTTTTTATTGCTTTTAAGTTCAAATTTTTACACTCCCACAGTCGGTCATTTATATTGATGAAACGGAGAAGTGGATTTTCTAAGGTTATTATTTGTTATTATTATTAATATTAATATTATTATTATTAGCAGTTATTTAGTTCAAATA